CTGTCGGCAGCCTGATCCGCTCGGTGCCAGTGATTGCTTCCCCGCTGGGGGTCCCTCTCCTCTCACCTCGGGGTCTGCAGCGGGGTGGCTGTCGGAAAGCCCCTAGTGGGGCCGATACCGCCGTTCGCCGCCGGGCCGGCAGCGCCGTGCTCGCCGGGCAGCCATAGTCGTCCGGACCGATGCCTGCGCGCCAGGGGGTGGGGCCCTGCGCCGGCGGCACGTGACGGCGCCGGTAGGCGGCAGAGCGTAGCGGCGGCTACAGCGGCTTGCAGCGGAGGGGAGCGGCTGGCCCCGCCGCCATGGGCAGTGAGTACGGGCAGGGGTGCGGCCCGGGGAGCCGGCCCGGCCTGCGGGGCCGCTGCTTGCGGGAGAGCAGGACAGGACGCGACCGGCCGCCGGCCCGGCGTGCCTGAGGTGCAGCGGGAGAGGGGCAGCCTCCTCCCGGGTGTAGGACTCGTGGTGCCGGGCGGAGAGAGACCAAGCACCGCTCGGCACCGTGTGGGGTGGGTTGGCTTGTTCCTCTGGTCTCGGTGTTTTAGCTTAGGAGCCGTCTGCTGCGGGGTGGGATGCGGGTTGTGGGTTGTGATGAGCTGTGCGGCGACTTGGAGTAAATACAGGGGGAATTTATCGCCGCAACATGTGAAAGTAAACGTGACATTTGGACTAAAATGTTGATAAATTTGGCTTTCGGTGTAATAAATGCGTTTTCTTCGGAGACGTACTGATGATTGTTTTCTGTGGGTATCTGAATGTGTTGGGGCTGGGAATAACATGCAAGTTTTGGAGGACAGATGAACCGTCAAACAGATGAGAAAGAGCTCGAACTGTTGAGCTTTTCTGTGATGTTAAAGGAGAAACTGACAAAAGTTTGTCAAGTCTGACAAAAGAGATGTACCAAACATTTTAATAAACACGCCCAAAGTTCTGATCGGAACAAGAGTTGCAGTGATTTAAATGATGATTCCTGAACATATTTTAGTGATTGAATTATTTTCTTAGCTAAATATTGCTGTAAAATATAACATACTCATCTCTACACGGATACTTTCTGATGTCAGTATCCTTTGCTTCTGTGTTTAACCAGCACAGGCTGATACTGGGTCGTTTATTTTTAGGTGGAATACAATTTAGTTCACTTCTGGTGGTGTGCACAGTGCCACATCTGAAATGATTCCAGCTGTAGAAAGAAGAATGGACCAAATTGATTAGAAAAAGAACTGCCTTTCCCTGTTTTCAGCTGTTTTAAGAAGAGGCCATCAGTTTTCAAACACCAAATTAGTGTGTGGATGAAATAATTCACTTACTTTATGTTTTCTCCTAGAAGTTTAATAAAGTTGTATGAAGCTTTCTGAATTCATAAATGTTCATTAATATATTTTTCTTTCTTTTCTTGTGTGTGTGTTTCCTGGAACAGTAAAATTTTTAGAAGTTATTAAGCCATTCTGTGCAGTGTTACCCGAAATCCAGAAACCAGAGCGAAAAGTGAGTGCCACGTTATGTTCTTCCTTTACTGGTTCACAGATATTGTGATATTTGAGTCCATGCTCCAGTATAAATACAGACAGTGGGCCCTGAAGTAGCACATATTCCTTGGAGGAGGGAAATCCATGTCAAGGTAAAATATTACCATGATGAGGAATTCTTAACAGCCTTCTTGTAACTTGTTCCACTTGGTAATCACAGATTTAGTTCTTCCTTTTCCACAAAATATTTTCTACTCCCCTACCTGTGATGGGGAAGTGATCTGTGACATAGGGCAGGTAATTGCTCCCTGTTCACCTACTGGATGTGACACTTGTCTTAGTTCTGAAATCAGAGAACTGAGTTCACTTGCAGCTGATCTCTGTTCCCTTAGGCCTAGAAATGCCTCCCATTTCCTCAGCACATTTTCTGGATTAAAATTAATGAATTTCTACAGATCAGGAAGAGACCTGCCTTGACAAAAAGCCCTCCCATAGCCACTGTTGCTTACTTTAAAAACTCAAGCAAGCACATACCATTTAAGTGGCAAAGGTTCTCATTGGAGTAACAAATTTGACTGGCATGAAAATTTCTTAAGAGCTAACTGTTGAATTTTATATTCTTAAAAAGAAAATGCACATCTGGGAAGATGGCACCATCTGAGGGAATCTTCTTTGATGGATGAGAGAAGTATCATCTTTGTTTCTGCAGTGGTGAACCGTAGTGCAATCTCCTGGTGCTGATTTATGGCCTATCTGGGATTAACTGATCGCATCCATCCCTTTTTTGTCTGGTGGGGTGGATGGGAAGAAGAAGCCAAGACAAATCTACAGACGCTGATGTTTCTGTAGAGCTCACTGGCAGTTGTGATTTTTCTCTTGTTTTTGGTTTCTTTTTTCCTCCTGCCTTTCTCTTTGCCAGAGAGGAACAGGGACTCGATCTGTCCATGTCCTCCAAGAGCAGATGAAGGATTCTCAGAGAGGTGCCAAGATTCCTGTCCTCTCTATTTGGGTCACTTTGTCTTTATTACTATCTAGGTCGCTGTCTGGGCAATGGCTGCCAGTTGCCAGCTTTGTCCCGATTTGAAGTGAAAATATAACTGAGAGCTTCCTTCTGACACTGAAGAGCCCTTTGACCATCTTAAGTGCTGTTCTTTGCCCACGTGTAGTTCATCAAGTGAGTTAGATCATTCTATCTAATTAATTCTTTGTTACTTACTGTTTTCTTGCAAGCTGGCACTGGCAGACATCATTAGTAATGGTTTAGTGGATTGGTTAAGGCCAGGACAAGAAATGAAGATAACAAAATAGAAAAATAAATCTATTTTGTCTACGCTGTACCAGTTATAGGAAGAAAATGAACTCTGTGCCAGCCGGCACCAGGGCATTAAGTGGAAGTGGAGTTTTGATTCAGTTGGGCTCTCACTGAGAGATGTTTTCTGTCAGTGGGGAGTGTTGCTTTTGTGTTCTGACCAACGCGATGAACAGAAGCAATTGCTACTTTTTAGTTAGTGATATCAGTTCATATTTCCCTCATAAGCACAGATTTTTCTAAGTAGAACACACTGTTCAGAACACCAAGTAGATGGAGCTTTAGTCCCTTCAGTTTCACAAATTACAAGAAAAATGTCAAAGGAATAAAATGTCCAAGTGAATCTGATTGGATGATGAAATGTATCATCCCTGTGCTTGTTACCACTTGTGCTTGCAGTGTTTTTATACCAGTCTGTATTTTGTTGTTCCTGGCATATGGATTCAGCTGCTTCCTGGGCTTATTTTCCCATCTTTTTGAATCAGAGAGACTGTTTTCCTTGGGAATAACTCTTGGGTGATGCAGAATCTCTCTTATGCTCATACTCAATGCACTTACAGAGAGAGCCAGGACAGTTGTAGAACGTGAGTGATGCCCTGGGAGCTGAGGTTAACAGTGGGGCTGCAGAGATCCTTTGATGAAGTGTTTTTCTTTTTACAAGTCTGTACTTAAAATCTGAACTGTAGAATTCAAACAGCACTCGGAAAAGTGGGTCAGCACTGCATAAAGTCGAACACAAGACACTGTCTGGATTTATTTGCTGCTGTCACTATTTGTCTTTTCTTATCTTTGTGCTCCTGTATTTTTAGCATCTGGCCTCTTTTAAAAGAGTGAGGCAGTATCAGTAAATAAATTGAATTAGAGGCATTATTTTACTTCAAAGTAAGTGCATGATTTAATTTATAAAGATACTATTCTGGGTTTCTCTTGCTTGAGAAGCTGTGCTGCTGCATCAGTTTGCAGTTTCTCATTTGTGGGTGTTCAGCACCAATAAAACCAGGCACTAATCTTTCTTCTTCTCTCCAGGCAGGTTCAGTGGTTGGAGGCAGAAAGCTTCTATTTCTGCTGTATCTGTCTTACCTGTTAGTTCATGTCATGTTCTAGTACCTGCAGTACTCTTGCCTCCAGTGAGCACACATCCCAGTGTTTCTGGTCCATGGAGGAGAGGTGGGAACTTGAAGATAAAACAGCATCTTGGTGCTCTCTGGTCTCTTCAGGAGCCTTTCTTTCTACCTGATGCTTTGAGCAGTCCTCTGGTTCAAATTTAAATCTTGTGATTCCTCTCTTGTGCCTGGCACTAGTTACAGTTGCCTCAGATGTTGTGACCCTGAGATTCTCTTCAATGTATTAGTGACTAATGATCATTAATCTGACTTCCTTTTAAAAAGTAATATATAATCTGCATCAATAAAAGCATTTTTGGGGGGGGGCGGGGAAGAGTCTGAAAATGATTTTATGGTCTGTGTTCATGAAGATAATGGTGATTTTAAGCTTCTTCTAACACCCTTTGAAGAACTTAATTTTAAGCATTTTGAATTACTGCCGAAACGTCATTGTTCTTCTGGTTCTTCTCACTTGTCTTCACAGCAGTTAGATCTCTTTAATAGTGCTTTAGTTTAGTAACTTCCAACCTTACAAAACAGTGCCTCCAACCTGTTGAAGCCTAGAACACTAGTCACTGAACATAAAAGGGGTTTTGCATTAATCTTTCGTGCTTGTTCTGGTATGTCTGTGTTTTTAGCTTTTCTGTAAATACCCACTGTATTACAATCCTATATAAGATACATTCTACTGACTGAGTCTCAGCTATGCTGTCTGCCAGAGCCCAGTTTCTCTGGCTACACAGAAGCCCATGACTGTCTCTATAAAATCTGAAATCATATTAAATTCTAATGAGGGATGATGCTTCTGGTTCAATATCTTTGCATTTAATTAATTTCATTAATTTTACTCTGCATTGTTTCTGCACAGTGAAAGTTCTACATCCAGTTAACACATTAACCTCTATGATCTGTTCTGTAGATCCAGTTCAGAGAGAAGGTGCTATGGACAGCCATCACACTCTTCATTTTCTTAGTGTGCTGCCAGGTGGGTGTTGATGTTCCCTCTGTTCAGACACTGTGTGTTCTGTACATATAAGATAGAATGCTAAAAGGGTGAGAAGTTTGTGTTTGTGTTTCATGTTGATCTACTTCTTTATGATGAAGTATTTAATACTTCAGTTAAACCTGATTCTCTGAAGTAGTCTTTATTATGGATTACATATGTTTTTCACAGACTAATTTTTTCTAGTCATGTTTTTTCTTGTTATAGGAAGGCTCCTATCAGATGAGAATTCTGGCTGCACGGTCAACAGCTGAGCTGGTTACACACTGAGCAGCATAAGCAAACTGAGCAATTTGATGTATTTTTTACCTTCTGCTCATAGCTAAATTGACATTTTAGCAGTGTTGAGTGAAAAAGAATTGACCTTTTACCTGATTCCTCTTGAACAAGCAGATGGGTTGTAAAGATTGCAGGAAAATGTTTTCCTGAGTTCTTTAACTTGACATTCAGAACTTGTTTTTTGTGAATATACTGGCAAAGACATTAGCCAACCCCTCCAAAACAGAGCTCTTTGTAAACATTGACATGATCTTTATTACTCATAGTTGCAGGAGTTAGAATCGTAGAATAGTTAGGGTTTGAAAGAACCTTAAGATCATCTAGTTCCAGCCCCACTGCCCCATGGGCAGGGACACTTCACACTAAACCATGCCGCCCAAGGCTTCATCCAACCTGGCCTTGAACACTGCCAGGGATGAAGCATTCGCAGCCTCCCTGGGCAACCCATTCCAGTGCCTCACTACCCTAACGAAAGAATTTCTCCTCCTTATATCCAATCTAAACTTCCCCTGTTTAAGTTTTAACCCGTTATCCCTTGTCCTGTCACTACATTCTCTAATGAAGAGTCCCTCCCCAGCATCCCTATAGGCCCCCTTCAGATACTGGAAGGCTGCTATGAGGTCTCCACGCAGCCTACAGGCTAAATAGCCCCAACTTTCTCAACCTATCATCCTACAGGAGGTGCTCCAGTCCCCTGATCATCCTCGTGGCCCTCCTCTGGACTTGTTCCAACAGTTCCATGTCAGTTCCTAGAACCTGTACCTGGGTTGTAAACAGATAGTGTTGTTTTGCTGGGTTTCATCAAGAATCTGTGTATTACTTGATGCATAGCTTTTTAGAGCTTATTGACCTCTTAGACTGAACTGTATTTCATATTTTTATACTTAAGACGTACTGTTCACCTTCAGAATCAGGGGTTTTAAGTTATATTTATCAACTTACCAATTCCAGAATCTGGAGCAGTAGGTTAATAATGACTGTCTACAACACTGAAGGGCTGTTGAAAGGCTAAAATCCAGCTCTTGTACTGACCTGTTTGTTTGGAAGGAGGAGGTGGGCATGATACCAGAGCTAGAACAACATGTAGTTTGTCTACCTGCTGGATACATGCATCATTAAGATTTTGAATCTATACAAAATATTATAGTAATTGAATAAGGAAATTGGATGGTGCAGATTCAGGAATAAATCTATAAGCTTGCCTGGGTTCCTGGTCTACTGCTTTTGTGATGCACAAGAGTTGTAAAGAGTTCAAAATCCCTCAGGATTGACATATAGGGAGGGTTTGTATAAACTTGGCTAACTTTGACAGTTCTGCATGGGATATTTTAAAACACATCGCCAACTGTGGAATTTGAATGTTTAAACTTGCTGGAAGAAGGTACTTGCATCGTAATTTTTACCTTTAATTTGTATGGGAAATAAATTCTACTTAGGACAGTTTAAAAGAAAGAATTAAAACCCTGCTTGCTTCTGTCATCTCCAGGATGCTTTGCTACAGTTTTCTCTCTCTTTATTTGAAATTCCAATTTGCTGCAAAGTTCTGGTGAAATAAGTAATGGAATAAGTAATCTGATGTTTTCCCCTGTTCTGTGGATGATCTGTGGTGGGTAACTGATTTTATGCTTTTTCTATTCTCTTGGGGAGTTGTAGTATTCCAGAATGACATGTCAGGCATTTACATCTTTAACTGCAGGAATCTGGTTTATGGGCACTGATTCTTTCTAGGGGTTTCTGCTTTTTCGTGTAGAAGGGTCTAAGTTTAGTACTCTGAGTCATACCCCAGTTGGGGGATTGAAATAGATGGTGTCAATGCCTCTGGTTTAATTAAAAAGAAGTGGAATAAACGATTCTAAAGAGTGTAATAGTTGAACCATTGTGCACTAAGAGTTTTGGATTAATGCATGCTGGCTTTGTGTATGTCTGACACTGTTGTGTGCTTTGACAGATACCTTTGTTTGGAATCATGTCATCAGATTCTGCAGATCCGTTCTATTGGATGCGAGTTATTCTTGCTTCAAACAGAGGTTAGTAGATTATTCCTTCCTCTGTTTTTATGGCTATAAACAGAGCAGGAAATAAATGGTTGGCTGTTAAATTTCATACAACCCAGATGTCATGTTGAAACACTCTGTAAAGTTCTTAACAGAGATGTAATTAAAACTGACTGATCCTTGAGGAGTTCTTTGTCTTGGGGATGGGGTTTCCTTTGACATGCAGATGAGATTAATCTTGGTTCTGAAGTTCTGGGATGATTCTCTTTTGAATTGTAGAGCAGCCTCTTTCTGATTAATATATGGGACAGGGAATCTTCTGCCCCACCACTTACAAACAGCACTAATGTGCAGTATGAGAATGTAGGCTAGAAACGTGCCTCATGGTATTTTGACAGCATTGTATGCGAGTAGTTTTGTAGGTGAGAAAGTTAAGGGCAGAGGTGATAATGCTGATAGTTTAGCAAAGCCAAACTAACTTAGTTTAGAATAGACAAGTGGCTCCCAACCAAATGTATAAGAAGACTTAAACTAATGCTAGAAGTCTAAAACTCAGATGGGTGATCTCACATGTGACTCTGAATGGGGACGCTGGCTTCATCTGTATAATGGAAATTGCTGGAACTAAGAAAACCAGTGGAACCCTCTAATGTGAAGGTATAAATTATTTAGGAATGGCTAATTTGGTCACACCAGTGAAGATAGCACATGAAGGTAAATAAGCTACCTGCTTCAGACGCTGCTGCAGAATTTACATATAAAACTCTATGTCTCACTAGTAGATACAAAATAAGCTGTTCGCTACCCAGACAGAAGATTAGAGAGACTGAAAGCACTAAAAACAGGAGTGGGAAGGTTACTTTTCACCTAAGTCAAGTGACTGGGGATCATTGGAGGATGGGCGGTAAAAGCTGAAGTTTTTGACATCCTCATTTTCTTGCTGTTGGAGAAGTAGAGATTTGAATTTTTGAAAAGATAGAGCTGAAATGAAGACTACCAATGGTAGTTAGGCAGAAATGAAGACTCCAGACAATAAGGAAGATGCTCAAAACCCCTTTGTTGAATTCAGATGACTTATTAAAGGCTCTTCAGGAAATGAAGCTATTGAGGGATAAGAGGGAAAACCTCATGGCTTAAGTACGGGTTGAAAAGCTCAGAAGGAAATGCCTGCACACATCTACACACATGTAAAGTGCCACAAAGTGAATATTGGGCAGTCCTAATCTGCCATGCCACAAAGGATACAGTGGAACTAAAGAAACACTCAGGGAAAGGCATCAGGGAGCATCTAAGGTAGATAATCATCTATAGAAAGAGGTAGGCGATCCTAAAAAAAAATAAATAAGGATTCTTTGCCGTGGAATATGCATATCCCAGATGTGTTCATCTCTGGAAAAAAGAGGCTAGGGGATGGATAGCCACTTTTTTCCTTATACTGTTAGAGGGAAGGGGCAGCCCCTGCTATTGTTAGGCAGCACAAGTCACTCAAAGCTTCTGAATAAATGACTGATGCATAGGAAAAGCCTCATACCTCCCCCCCAGAGAAGGGGCCCCTTCCAGAGGTGGGATGAGAGGACAGAGAAGCTGCTGGGCTGATCAGCTGTGCATGTACTGTTCCTTGATAGGCTATGCCAAAAAGCTGAGCTTCAGTGTACATTGACCTCTGGTGTTAGCATGGTTCCACAGAAGTATTTGAAGTGAAATGCTACACGGGTTTTTCATGCTGCCTTCAAAATGACAGATTTTAGCACAGCAGCCTTCTTTTGTGCGGAGATTACAGTCTTTCCTTTGATCATACCTGGGCTGGAATAGAATATGTTGGAAACATTATGAAAAGTGTTCCTTATAGCTCAGAAACCTTTCACCAGACCTAATATCCTCAGAGGAGAATTCTTTAGGAGAGGTGTTTGAATGGCAGTTAGAATCATAGAATCAAGTAGGTTGGAAAAGACCATTAAGATCATCAAATCCAACCATTACCCCAGCACTGCCAAGACCACCGCTAAACCATGTCACTAACAATCTCATCTACATGGTTTTTGAACACTTCCAGGGATAGTGACTCCAGCACTGCCTGGGCAGCCTGTTTCAATGCCTGAGCACCCTCTTGGTGAAGAAATTGTTCATATTAACACAATTGGATATTATCCTAATATCTGATAGTGTTATTTTTTCTTCCTGTTCAGGTACTTTGATGGAGTTAGGTATCTCCCCCATTGTGACTTCTGGTTTGATCATGCAGCTGCTGGCTGGAGCAAAGATCATTGAAGTTGGTGACACTCCAAAAGACAGAGCCCTGTTCAATGGAGCTCAGAAGTGTAAGCACTGTTCCAATGGAAAGCAGTGAGCACGTTTTTACTCTGGGGAAAGCAGCCTGCCTAAGGGATAGTAGCTCTGAGATTTCTTTGGTAGGTGATTGCAGCAAAGGATATTTAAAGGATTTGCTTTCTTTCTTGTTTTAGTATTTGGGATGATTATTACCATTGGGCAAGCCATTGTGTATGTTATGACTGGAATGTATGGAGATCCTGCTGAAATGGGTGCTGGAATTTGTCTTCTTATTATAATTCAGGTTTGTAATGAGCTATTTTGTGTGTAACTGAGACTGGTTGGATACAATGTAGCTGGAAAGAAAAATCCTTTTTATGTCTGGTTGCCTTTTATTTATTTCTTTTTAATGCTGTAAACCATCACCCTTTGTACCTGTCTATATATGAGATATCCTAAATATTCCATAAAGGAGGAGAAAGCTGGGATAGTTAGTATCAGAACTGTTTCAGATAGGAGTGGCTGTTTAACTCAAACTAAAGGAATTAGTAGACTTTGAAGCAGTAGCTGCTGTTAAGTATCATGAAGGACTTCTCACTGAACAGCACAGATGCAGCTTTGAGACATTATCCTATAGAGCAAAGCAGTAAATGCCCCAAATTCAGTGCTTACTGAGTAATCTGTTTGCAAGTGTCTGTGTTGGAACAGTCATGGGGATTGTTGCCAGGTGAGATGTGCAGGCGTTTGTACATGAGAGGGCAGAAATACTGCAGGAATGATGTATAGGTAAAAAACTTCCTCAGCACACTCCAACATGATGAAATTACAGAAGCAGGGAATTAATACATAATTCTTGACTTGATTCACTCTTCTTTCTGCTCAGTTCTGTTCCTTTTCCCACAGCTGTTTGTTGCTGGTTTGATCGTGTTGCTGTTAGATGAGTTGCTGCAGAAAGGCTATGGCTTGGGATCTGGTATTTCCCTGTTTATTGCTACCAATATCTGTGAAACCATTGTCTGGAAGGCCTTTAGTCCTACTACCATCAACACTGGCAGAGGTACGTGTGCTATTACAGTTAGTTGTAATGTGTTTCAGTGCATGTGTACTTATACAGAAACTATCAGTGTTTATCTGATGGCTATTAAAAATGTTTTAATGTGTGATAAATATTATTAGGCTGAGAGAGCTGGGCTGGTTCAGCCTGGAGAAGAGAAGGCTCCAGGGAGAACTTAGAGCAGCTTCTGGTGCCTAAAGGGGCCAACAAGAGACCTGGAGAGAGACTGACAAAGGGGAATGGCTTTAACCTGATGGAGGGGAAATTTAGATTAGACATTAGGCAGAAATTCTTCCCTGTGAGGGTGCTGAGGGGCTGGCACAGAGAAGCTGTGGCTGCCCTGTCCATGGCAGTGTTAAGGCCATGGGGCTTGGAGAAACCTGGTCTAGTGGAAGGTGTCTCTGCCTGTGGCAGGGGTTGGAGCTGCATGAGCTTTAAGGTCCCTTCCAACCCAAACCATTCTATGATTGCCTTCTAAAGTTAAATGTCTAACACTGAAGATCAAAATTGGTCTGACTTATGTGAAGATGAATAAATAACCTGCAATTTTTCCTTTGCTGATTTGAATTGCAGCAGTTAAGGCCCCCTGACTGAAGATTTTGGATTTCCAGACCAAATTAGTCTTGTTTCAGCATCATTTAGTCCCTAGAAGCAGATAAGATAAGAAATACTGCGTTCAGAGGAGCTGGTTATGATCCAACCAGTACTGTGGCTATAGGATGCTTTTATAGTTAGTGCCTCCAAATTACTCTAAACTGGTTTGATTCTTCCGACACTACCATCTCTTCATTCCTCAGCCAATCATTGACAGCATCTGGTTGTCCTGAGACCCTAGAAATAAGCAATCAAGGGGTTAACTAGTTTAATACATTTGGAGTCTGGAGCCATTATTTTAGTTTGCTTTCATTTCACCTTAGTAGCTTTGTTGTATTTTATCACTTCTTTTCTAAAGCTGTTTTCCTCGTTTTTTATTACTTCTAATCATTCTCCTGCCCCAGAAAAGAAAGGAAAAGTGTATTCTTTCATGTGTGTGACTTGGGGTTTTTGTTTGGTTGATTTGGGGATTTGGTTGTTTGTTTTAACCAGGAATAATGTTTTGGTAGATTAATCTACAATCTATAAGCTAAACCAGAATCCTGTAATGTGATACATCTGTTGAAACAGGATTTATGTCCTATTGTATCAGATTTTACTGTGTCAAATTTCTAAAACAAAGATGCCATTTTTTTTAACAGGCTTTTAAATTACAGATTAAAATTCCTTGACTCTTTTGTTATGTGCAGGGACAGAGTTTGAGGGGGCTGTGATTGCCTTATTTCACCTTCTGGCTACACGAACTGACAAAGTCCGGGCTTTGCGGGAAGCTTTTTACCGTCAGAATCTGCCCAATCTCATGAACCTGATTGCTACAGTGTTTGTATTTGCTGTAGTCATCTATTTCCAGGTAAAATGAGCAATTCCTTGTAGTAGCTCTGCAGCTGCAGAGGTGGGAGTGCACAGACCCTGAACACTGCAGTCACTGGGGGGAAAGGCACAAGTTAAAGTCAAGTCTCTCTCAGCTTTGAGCAATGAACGCTCTTTGTTCCAGTACTGTTGTTCAGTAACATCCCTCTGGGACAGTGCTGCTGTTAAATTTGATAGCCCACATTCCATTAAATGCCATACACACTATGAGAGTATTTTTATTAAGAATGTCTTCTGGAATTGCAGTAGTTGTCACACAAATATGGTTGAATACTCATCAGTGACTTGGAAGAATATTCTTGGACACAGTAAAGAGCCTTCCTGCTTTGCGGTGGATATGTATAGATTTACTCTAGAAACAGCCATGTAATCAGTGCAGAGCTGATTTGGTTTTCCCCTCAGTTTCTTGAAATCCTTAGGTAGCATTAAATTTAATTCTTTAAGTATTAACTGCTTAAGCTTATGCTTAAATACCAAGTATATAAGTATAAACTTTTAAGTATTTACTAAAGCGGACACTAAAGCAGGATCCATAGGGTGATTTTCTTGTTTGTGTGTGTGGCTGAAATGTGATTTTATTATTATTCTTTTTAAGCTGTTTAGTCAGTGGTGGCAGTAAAACTTGGGTTATGTGCTTTTCAAATCCATGTGGCTTTTCTTGGGTCTACTCAGCCAGAGGCCTGCCCCAGAGGAATGGACCTTATCACACAATTCCTGCTGATAACTGGCTACTTAAATCGAAGTCTTTTATTGAGCCGTATTCTATAAAGTGTATGTATAAAGGGATGTCATTTAGCAGATGAGAGATTATGTAAAAAGAACATAATAAAACCAAGCAGTAACACTTACAACTCCTTAAAGTTTGGATCCAGGCTGTGGCAGAAAACCTCCGGCTTTCACTGTCTTAGACCTTGCACTCCTTGTTTATCCAGCCAGAAGGCTGTGGTCAGGAATGGCTTTCTGGCATTTGAGGAACACCACCTGTGCTGGAAATAAGCCTGGTGTGTTTGTGTTCTTTCCATAGGGGTTTCGTGTTGATTTACCCATCAAGTCTGCACGCTACCGGGGACAGTACAGTAGCTATCCGATCAAGCTCTTCTATACCTCCAACATTCCCATCATTCTGCAGTCTGCCTTAGTTTCAAACCTCTATGTCATTTCCCAGATGTTGTCTGTTCGTTTTAGTGGCAACTTCTTGGTGAATTTACTAGGACAGTGGGCAGTAAGTATTTTACCACTTAAAATTAACTGTTTGTATGTATTACTTCATTGTGAAACTGATATTTAAGCAGTACTTTTGAAAAGTACTTAAGCAAGTACTTTTGAACACTCGTATATAAAAGCTCTTTTAAACACTGAAGAGGAATTCTTGTGGAAATACAGGATAGTACTTTAAACTGACAGAGGGGAGATTCAGATTAGATATCTGGAAGAAGCTCTTTCCTGTGAGGGTGCTGAGGTGCTGGCACAGGGTGCCCAGAGAAGCTGTGGCTGCCCCATCCCTGCCAGTGTTGAAGGCCAGGTTGGACAGGGCTTGGAGCAACCTGCTCTAGTGGAAGGTGTCCCTGCCTGTGGCAGGGGTTGGAACTGGATGAGCTTTAAGGTCCCTTCCAACCCAAACCATTCCATGATAGGAATGTCAGAGGTCTGTGAGGAATCTCATAGAATACCAGCTTGGAATGACCTCAAGGATCATTTATTCCAAGCTTTCTTGGCAAAATAACTTATTTCCTTTTTCTTCCCCTCTCACAGGACGTCAGTGGTGGTGGCCCTGCTCGCTCTTACCCTGTTGGTGGCCTCTGCTACTACTTGTCTCCCCCTGAATCCATGGGTGCAATATTTGAGGATCCTGTCCATGTCATAGTTTATATCATATTTATGTTGGGATCCTGCGCGTTCTTCTCCAAGACTTGGATTGAGGTGTCTGGCTCATCAGCGAAAGACGTAGGTGTTGTGATAAACCTGCCTAGATGTCTTTGTTTAGACCTGCCTGGCTAATCACTCATCAGTTACTCCTCTGACTAAATATCAGGTGACTATGAAACACTGCAGCAGTTCCATAAAACTCTCTTTTTTGCAGGTTGCCAAGCAACTCAAAGAGCAGCAGATGGTGATGAGAGGCCACAGGGACACTTCAATGGTTCATGAGCTGAACAGGTAAGAAAATGGTGACTTCCAACAGGGTGCTTGAGGTCCTGTCAGCTAGAGCAGGTGTTCTTGGAAACGTTGGAGACCTCTTTCCACTGAACGTGTCCGGGTTCTTCCCTTTCAGCTGTTCTGGTAACACACAAGGCATTTATAGCAGTAGATAAAAGGTTTACCTGTAGCGCCTCTTGTGTAAGTGGCATAATGAGGGAATTTGGCCAAAATCTCTGCTGTGTTTGTACAAGGAAGATTCCTTGGGTTTTACAGGTGTTTAATTTACCATTCCTGAACTAAGCTGATGCTATAAAGTGGTATTTTATGCAGTACACACAGCCTGCTGGTCTGTATGGAAAGGTAGATGTGTCCCTTTGTTTCAGTCAGAGCAGTTAATCCTGCTCCTGTGGAAGTTAGATAGCAATTCTCCGTACATGTGTGCTATCCTGTGCAGTGAAAAGCTTTGCCAGTGTTCAATTCACACAGCTTTCCTCTTGGTGAATATTTATTTTAGTCTCTACTTTGTACAAATACAGAAGACAGCTCATGGCAGAGTCCCATTTGCAATGCTGAATTGCATAGAACATAGAATGCTTTCATCTGAAAGGGACCTTAAAGCTCATCCAGTTCCAGCCCCCCTGCCACAGACAGGGACACCTTACACTAGAGCAGGTTGCTCCAGGCCCCTCTGTCCAACCTGGCCTTGAGCACTGTCAGGGATGGGGCAGCCACAGCTTCTCTGGGCACCCTGTGCCAGTGCCTCAGCATCCTCACAGGGAAGAATTTCTTCTAATGTCTAATCTAAATCTCTCCTGGCAGTTTGAAGCCATTCTTCCTTGTCCTGTTTCTGCATGCACTTGTAAACAGCCTCTCTCTTGAGTCTGTATCAGTCCCCTTTAGGCACTGGAGCTGCTCTAAGGTCTCCCCTTGAGGAGCCTTCTCTTGTCCAGGCTGAACCAGCCCAGCTCTCTCAGCCTGGCTCCAGAGCAGAGCTGCTCCAGCCCTCGCAGCATCTTCACAGCCTCCTCTTGACTTGCAACAGCAGCTCCACATCCTTATTATGCTGGGGGCCTCAGAGCTGGACACAGGACTGCAGGGGGGGGAGAGGAGAGGAGGAGAATCCCCTCCCTCAGCTTTTGTCACTCAATACTCCAGTTGATTGCTATAGTCGCAGATGCATTGTTTGAGCCCTTGGGTGAAGATTCATGATGCTGAATACTTTCTTTTCTCTTTCCCTGTGGTGCAGGTATATCCCTACAGCTGCTGCATTTGGTGGATTGTGCATTGGTGCCCTTTCAGTATTGGCTGACTTCCTGGGTGCCATTGGCTCAGGCACTGGCATTCTGCTGGCAGTCACTATTATTTATCAGTACTTTGAAATATTTGTAAAAGAACAGGCTGAGGTTGGAGGAGTAGGTGCATTATTTTTCTAGATGTCCAAATATTTCATGGTTTGTGTGGAAAGGGAAAGTATTTTGACAACATGCATCATTTAATCCAACAATGCTATTTTCTTTTGACTTGTTTTCAAGTGCTGTGTGGCCCATTCCTGCAATGGGCACCGAGCAACGCCTGTGAGCAGCGTTAGTACCGGCTGCCTTAAGAATCCAGTTTACATTATCTGTCTTGTTTATCTAGTGTTGCCTGTGATGCTGGAAACCAGTTCATCTACCTTGCTGTCCAAACGCTGCAGTGAGATGCTCAAATGTATCAGTTTGGTGTCAGTAAACACTTTTTGCACACAGCATTAAAATGTTAACTTTATTTCCCTGTCCTTAAGAGGAGAAAAATCTGAATTCAAAATTAACTGCCACGTGACAAAATGTATCTGGAGCTTGTATTTTATGTTAGTTTTTTATACTTTTTTAACTTGCATTTCCCCATCACTGAACTGGGCACTCCGTCTTTTGCGCTGTCTCCACTCAAGCACCTCTCTCTTAGCTCTAAGGGTGGACAATTATGTTTTACTAGAGACTGATACACATCTCACCGGGGAGCTGGTTCTGGGGTGGGGGTTGCTGCATCGCAGGGCCCAGGGCATTGGGATCTTGCCCTGCTGTGGGGGGGACAGTGTGGTGGCAGCTGCTGTCCCACTGGGAAGTGAGCCCCGCTGTTCCATTTCAACCTGTACTTGCGCGAGCTGTGCCACTAAAACTTCATGTCCACTTTGCTTCTGTGAGTTTAAAGAACAAGGCCTGGTTCCTCAAGCACTGTTCAGGGGAGGGAAAGGGAGAATGAGGAGTTCCTGCTGCAGACCTTTGTCGCGCTTTACAGCGGCAATGTACAACTGTAAACGCTAGACAATAAACTTATTTAATTAAGCTCTCTCCTGTCTCATCTGTGTGAGATGGAATTCAGCTGCAGGGTCTGATCTTTTCTAACATGCTTTGTTAGTGGCGGGGGGCTGGAAGGCTCCTTTTTTCTTCCTCATCCTTGTTCTAGAATATAATTCTGATCAGTTTTTAGCAGTTTTAATTAAAGCCTCAAGATTTCTTCCCTTCAAATCTTTGAGCTTTTCCACTTGGCTGTAACTAATTCCTTTTTCCCTTTGATTTCATGTTTTGATTTCTTCTGTCTTCTCTCATACTTAACTTGAAAGTAACTTTGCTGTTTGTTATGACAGGAAAATCTTAAGCAAGTTTTCTGCTTCATTTGTAAGGCAGGAAAGTCTTCCCAGTTATGCATGCTCACCCAAATTCATTTCAGAACAAGACTTTGATATGAGGATATGTTTGTTACAGCACTTAGATCCTAACCTTTAAGCAGTGGTGGTTGTTTGTGTAACTGGAAGCAGTCAGCTGTACACAGATGCACTGAAGATTCACCCACAAGTAATGGGAGTGAGGGAATAGGCAGCCTGGGGACGTGTGTGTGGCGTATAGAGGTGCCAGGCATGTAAGTTCATGCCTCAGACAGAATTCCCTGGCTGGGTCATGGACCCTGGGATGTTGTGTTGGTGCCACAGCTGTGATTTTTGCAGCTAAACCAAGCAATTTTCTCTTTCTGGATAGTTTAGTTACAACTGGGACAAGGAAGCAACCCCCTCAGGTCTAAAGCATAAAAGGCAGTTTCAAACACAGCAGCCAGAGTGTGTCCCTGTGTCCCCATGCTGCTGCTCCTGTCATGGAGGAATCACTGATGGCTGTTTTGCTGATGCTACTGGTGTGTGTGGATGAGAGATGAGGAAGATGGACACTGTTCTGCACCCACCCTGAGTTAACAGGCTTTGGTACAACACCAACCACAGTCACTTGAGCATCTTCCTTACACTGCAATGACAAACACAGTGAGGGATGAGCTCCTCTGAAAATTAAACAGCACTTTTATTTCCATTATTCAGTCAAGGCCTGACAGCCTGAGCAGTTAAAGGGACACTTTTTGTTAGTTACATAATTCCAGATAAAAATACCAAGGTTATTCCTACAAATGCTTTTGCTCTACAAGTAAAGCAAATGACCTCTATTACAAGGAAAGTTAAACCTTCTGAGCCATCTGAACAGGGCAGTTTCCAACCACATTTCTCACTTCATAAAAGGGACTTGGAGCGGTTTTTCTGCCGCACGCTTGAGGGCCAGTGCATAGGTGTAAACCCTGGCATCCACTGCCAGGTGTTCTTCTGCCACCAGCTCTGGAAAGAAAGAAAAATACAATTATGAGATTGTTTAAACTCCTCCTCTATACAAATGCAAGTCCTGCACTACAACGAAGCTGAGCAGCATCAAGACTTTAACTCTTCATGCCAGCACCTGATGCTGTCACTAACTCTTCCCTTGCTGAGCCTCTCACGGCTTTTTAAGACAGAGGTTTCTTGGATGAGAAAGGCTATGAGGAGGGAAGCTAAGGCTTTCTCAATGTGCATTTAGCATGTCAGCAAGCTCTTACCATCGATTCTTTGCAGTAGGTCGTTCTTTGGAAGTGAAATAACTTCCACAAATTCTAGGAGAGAACAAAAGTGTTACACACCTTTAAATCTGCAAACAGCAAAGGAAGTTACCTCAGTGTCCTGTTTCTTACCTTTTAAAAGGGGAAAAACAACTGACTTAATGCTCATTGTCATCCAAAAGCTGCTGAGCCTGCACACATATCGCCAAAAGGCCAATTAAATGCGGGAAGTCCGGGACTGGGGTCATTAAAAAACAGGTCGGACAGAAAGAAACTGGGAAAAACAGTGCAGCTGACAGCCATGGGGGGTCAGAACCCTTCCAAAACAAGACCTTCTCCCTTCTAGAAATGGAAAATACACTGAAATAGACTCATTTGATTTATACAGGTACAGTAATGGATTATAGATGCATTTGAAGACTAAAACAGCACAAAGATTTTGCTCTTGATAAATATGCGTTGACTTACACCTCCCCTGTCCACCTGAATTCATTGTCTTTGGGGCTTCATCTACACCTACTGTGGATTTAGTCATTTGTATGTTCTGAGATACTGGTGCTTTAGGTGAAATGCTTGAGAGAACTGATGCAATAATGTTCCATGTCTAGGCCAAAGTCAGTCTCATGCATGTTTTATTAGGGCCAGGAGATAACAAAGCCCAAATAAGAACCAGTTTTAACTGACGTTCTCCGTAAAACTTGCCATATGTAGCTCACTCTCAACCTTGCTGTCAGTGGGAGCAGTTACCCAACATACCTCCATCATCTGGAAGGAAAGTAAAAAGGAGTAAGTTAAGGGGTTTGACATACACAGAGCTTACAACTAAAAAGCATTCTGATAGCTGACTGTGAGTGACACTGTAATGATTTCCAAGGTCAAGCCACAACTAACAGGAATATCAGGGTTCACAAGGGCTTATGGCCCTCACTGAACTGTGGCACCCAGGTTTCTCCTTCTGGGTTTGACAACACCTGACACTGAACATTGAGGTCTTCCCAGGGAATTTAGCAAAGAAACACAGCTCTGCATATCCAGGCTGCAGGATATGATTTGAAGGATGTCCAGAATCTACATCAGCTGGCACAGAAGAGATGTCCCTACAGTGGTAGGGTCAGTTCTTTTAAACCCATTCTTTTGTTATCCTCTCTGAATTTTCAAACAAACAGTACAAAACTCACCCAGTTTTTGCTTAGGTCTTGTGTTCTTAGCCTCATCCCCGTTAATGGTGACGCTCACAATGTGTGTGGTGCTGTTTGACAAACCTGGGTCCAAGCAGAGAGCTGCCAACAAGCGCAGGCAGAAGTTAAGTTGTCAAAAGCACAAGTCAGGCACCTTGACATTTTACCAAAAACTTTCACAGAAATGCATCCTGATACAAGAGGAGAACACGTGTTTGGCATATGTTCAGGCTGGAAAGGTTGTGAACAGTTTGTCTTCACAGGCTTTTAAAAGCAGTGTTTGTGTGCCTCTCAGTGCTTTTACAGATCCCTTGTAAGACCTGTTTTCCACAGCTAGGTTTACTTTGCATCCCATAGACTGCAGATTAAACTGTAAGCTACAATTTCCTTATAGGCTTCTTCAGTCAAGTCTGGTTTTGCCACCACCTGTCTCCATATCAGTCCCCATCATGTTGTACCTGGTAATCAAGAGCCAAGTCTCAACTATAATGACATTTACTTGTAATCCTAGGGAAGCTGCCTCACCTTTCTACCTTTTCAAGTTTAATTTGTGATGCTCATTTTGTCTTCATTTTGCTTTGCATTGGCAACAATCATGTTCCAAAGGTTCTCTGGATTTACTCCAATTAGTCTCTCCTTTCTGGCTGTAGAACCTGAGTGCTGTCACCTCCCCACAGCGGCATGATGTGACCTCCACTCAGGCTGCATCACATAGCTATTTTTTAATACCTAAGTTCACAAAAGCTGTTCACATTAAGTCCAGCAATTTAGACCTTTATACTAAAATGCCAAATCACAGCTTGAACAATTGGGTTTTCTGTCAAGGATCTTAGTTCAGAGCAAAGTTTTCCCCTATAGACATCAAACTGTCACTTCAGTTCAGCTAGCAACTCAGCAACAACGAGCCATGGGATACTGCTCTGTGCTGATCTGTGTAGACTTTCCTGCACAGCTCTTTTTCTTTTAGAGCATTTTAGACATTTAGAGTATCTGTCAAAGGCAGAATTAGCTTTGGGTGGGAAATAAAATACAAAGCAAAGACCTGGAGTACATTCAGTGACCTCCCCCTTGTACCCTGTTTCTTCCTCCAGCTCTCGCAATGCAGCGCTTTCTGCAGTCTCATTTTCCTCAATGAGGCCTGTGGGATAAATAACACACAGAAACAATTAAAAGCAGACACTTGACCATAACACCCATCCCAGATTGAATCCAGCCTTATGGAAGAGGTGAAACATTCTCATTACACTTTTACACAGGGATAAAACTGAAGAATTAGGCAGGATTCCAGTTCCTGGACTCATCAGGCTGCTGTCCACGTCTTCATATGATTGTCTACAGAAGCCTTCCCAGGCTGATTATCTGCTACCTTCCCAGGAAACAAGAGTTTATATCCTCATAAGGGAAAGAAGCCAAATGCTTTGACTCTTAAGGAGTGGAGGGAAACGCAATATTCTTCTACCAGACTGCTGTGCAAAATGTCTCCAATCTGCTAAAATGAGCCCATTTTGTATCTTTCATCACCAAATATTCCTGTTTGGGAATAGCACACTGAGCTACAGAGCTCACCATGGTTTTCTAGTTAGAGCTGCTTGAGATTGACACTCCCAGCACATCTAAACACACTTAACTGTCAGCTTTCTGTGACCCATCTTAATGCTTCAGCCACTTACCTGCAGGAAATTCCAAGCAATAGCCATTAATTGGGGGCCTGAACTGTTTCACGAGGACAATGCAGTCGTAGTGGAGAGTTCTCTGTAGTACCGCTATCACTGCGACACCTACAGTCACAGAAGACACAAGTACATACAGAGTATAGCAGAAGGTACTTGGTGCTAGATCTGGAAAGAAATACAAGCACTGTTACTTTGAGCATTAAACGTTTAGATGCCTGCTCCAGAATCCTGAACTATGAATTTAACCTCATTCTGTTAGGCATGGTGAGAGGCAAAAGCCCAAAATGGGATCTTCAAAGAGCAAACAAGAGGCACATGTACCAAACAAGACTGAGCCTCAGCCCACCAGTACTTAGGGGTGTGCTCTCTTGACTGCAGACTGTTTGGGAGCCAATGTATGGAACTCCCCGAAACGCTCCCTTCATGGCTAAATCATCTCCCAGAGACAACTGTATCCCAAGCCCCTCACAGCAGACCCAACTGACCAATCTGTGAGCTACTCTCTACCAGGGCACCCAGGACATCTTTGAAATTGCTCCACTGTTCTGAAGTGAATAAAATGATCTTGGGAAAACACTCCTACCAGTA